ATATGCAACACTTTAAAAGCTTTTGCCACTCATCAGTTTAGTGTCATCAGTGATAAATGGCCCTAGAATTATTGCTTCCATTCCGACGTTTGCAGTGATATGCAACATGAGTGGCACAATAGTAGTTTTTGCACAATGGCGCACCGGACGCATGTTTGCGTGTGTACGTGGAGGGGGCGGGGGGACTTTAAAAGATGTGTTATTTTACACTTTTTTTTTTTTTTACACTTTACTTTATTGCTAGCACATAGGAGACTAAGAAATCCCCTATGTGATAGCCAATTCACATAACAGGTCTTCTTTATGGAGACATCAGGGGACTCCAAGACCCCTGTCACCTAGGGACAGAGATCTGCTTCATCAACTTCTCAGTGGCATCTGTAACTGGAGAGTGGCACTGAATGCAGGAAGTGATGTAATACACATCACTTCCTGCATTCTGGGACATAAGAGGAGATCAAAGGGAGATTGTGTACTGAACTCCCTTTGATCTCCACTGACAGCGTCGCCGTGCTGGTGCCAGCGGATCTTGGGACCAGCGGGGGGCACGCACACCCGCAGGTACTACAAGCGATCGAACGTCTACAGATGCCCGATCGCTTGAATGTTAACAGCCGGATGTTTACATTGCTGACAGTTTCCCCACTCATGTGCACACTGGTCGCCGAGCAGGGGGCGGCGACCTTAAGACACCGTCCCGCTCCTGTAAGGCTCCTGTCCGGCCATTCACGAACGGCCATGGACGGGAAGTGGTTAAAGAAGTTCTAAAGTCCAGGCATATCCTCTCCTGTTAGATCAGCAGCATTGTAAGAGGAATACATACTAGAGTGGTTTTTAATAATCCAAATCAAAGCTTACTTGAAAAAAATCCCTTTTATGTATTGACTGCTGCCTTCCGTCTGCCCGTCACTTTCACCAACTTCCTCAGCCCTGCGAATAAGCATTCAACGTCTGAACAATGCAACCTTATCAATGCTTGCTGGAAGCAATGTCTTATGGGATGTGTTGTCTTTAGAAATCAAGATTGCATCATATCCAGCAGAGAGATGCAAAGCACACTGAGAATCCAGTGAGTTGGTGAAAGTGATGGGCAGACAGAAGGCAGCACTCACTACATAAAAGGGATTTTTTTCAAGTAAGTTTTATACAACTCTAGTATGTATTCCTATTACAGTGCTGATGTTATGACAGGAGAGTGTATGCTGGGACTCTAGAACTCCTTTAAAATGCAGAGATCTGTGGATTAGCCATTAAAAGGACAGGTTCACCTTTAATGAACATGTCCTTTAAATACATCCACCTAGCCCAAGTGCAGCCTGCCATGTTAAATACTTAACCTACAAGAGTTAGCAAGGCAGATTCACTCACTCATACTTTTTAGTGTGGATGGAGAGTTCTTCGTTCAGCACATGCAGTTAAATGTGAAGAAACTACCAGTGCATGGCGGGTGGGGCCTTGGTAAAAGGACAGGTTCCCATTTGCCTAACCAGTGTTGAGAGAACTCAACGATTGCATTATTTCTATTGAGCAATGTAACAACATTGCTTACTGCAAGCAATGAATGATGGGATATGTAGTCTAGAGAAATTGAGATTGCATCACATCAAGCAGCAGGGAAGGAGATGCAAAGCATGGCGGTACACTACGATTTTCTCGTTCAGCCCTGTGCTCAGTTACCCCATCCATACGAAACAGTATGGATGGAGGAATCTTCCATACCGGTTGTTATATTCTGACAGTTGGCGCCAGGCTGGCATTTGTAGTGCATTGTCCCAACACTTTTTCCACAATGCATGAGTATTTACATCTATGTGCTGTCATGCATTACTTTCTATCTTGCCATGTTCGAATGGGGAGCCCATTCGAACATGGCAACATGTGTCCCCAGTTATTTACAAACACCGGAGTGATCAGACGATCACTCCGGTGTTTGCTCTGCACAGAGGAATCATTAAATATCATTGATATTTAACGATCCCCCGCTCTGCCACGCTACAGAGCCGCTGTCATCCAAAAACATGAGTTGATTACCTGATAACTCTGTTTCCAGGAATCTTCCAGGACAGCCATCGAGATATAGGCTCCGCCTAGCCTCGCCGTCAGCGAGAGGAGGGTGTGCTCTGCCCAAGTTAGAATATTCGTCGCCAACTGCATGAGGCCCTGCGAGCGCGTGCCCCCTTGCCGGTTTATGTAGGCCACTGCCGCGGCGTTGTCCGAGGCCACCGCCACATGGTGCCCGGCTAACGTCTCCTGGAACTGGCGGAGGGCTAACTCTATCGCCTTTAGCTCTCTCCAGTTTGACGACCTGAAGCGGCTCCCCTGCTCCCAGGCTGCTTGCCAAATGGACTCCTGGCAGTGAGCACCCCAACCCCAGGCACTGGCATCCGTCGTGACCACAAGTGGTGCTGGCTGAGACCAAAGTCTACCGACTGAGAGGTTCCGACACTCCATCCACCACAGTAGTGAATGCTTGAGGAGAACTATTGGGAGAGTGAAATGTACTCATTCTCATAATGAGAGCCGACATGTGACACTGCAGATGTCACCTATTGGCTGCATTGATCGAGAACTGAGCGAATCCATACTACAGACCACTCTAAATCCTCTCTCTGCAGAGAGCGGCGATTGTCAGTTACCACCCCCCGCCCCCCCGTTACTCCAGCGTTCATTGAAGGGACAGACATGGGGAGGGGGCGGGCACAGCTGGCTCTACAGAGGCAGAGCAAGCGGGACAACATTGTCAGGATCTTTCCCCGCTGCAGTGCTGTCAGCATATAGAAAGCAGTAGTCCACTATATGCTGAGTTTTGGGTCACAGGAGGACATTAGTAATTGTTCTCCTGTGACCCTAAAGAGAACTATCGCAAAAACAAAAAAAAATAGATCTAGCCATAGTTCTCTTTTAAAGAGAAACTTCAATCTCTTCTCCCACCAGTGGGTTCATTTAGCTGCTGACCCCCCCACACACCCTCTTACAATTTTCACTGCATTATCCTCAAATAATATACCCACTTTAGCCGGCATTGTCCTGCACCACCAAGATCATCCGGAGCCCTTCACTCCCTCCTGGAATACCAAACCTAGTCACCCCAGGAGGTTGCTGCAGCAGGATTGATGTCATTCTTTCCTAGGTGAAAATGGTGTTAGGAAAGAGCCGGGTAAAGAAATGTATATATAAAGAAAAGTACATTTAAGGAGAACTATGAGGGGAGTGCTTTTCACTCACCTCATAGTTCTAGCCGACCTGACCGTCCGCCCATTGCGATTACACAGGCGGACAGCGGACGTGTATTTACGTGATTTTTTTCTGTGCATGCGCGAGCAGAACCCTACTAAATTCTTGTACCAGCTGTGACGTACAAGCGTTCTGGCTGCTCTGTAGCAACCCGATCGCTTGGATGATCAGAAAGTGCAGACGCCCCCTCCACCGCGCCCCCTCCGCCAATACAATAAAAGTTAAGTGTAAAATATAAAAAGAAAAAAAAAAAGGCAAAGATTTTTTTTTTTACTTTTTAAGTCCACTGCACACACACGAAAACTAAGGCTGGGTTCACACCTAGGCGTATTACGTATGCACGTCTGTCTCGCGACCGTCACGCTTTTTTTACCGCAATTCGCGGTAAAAAAAATGCGCGACCGTCGCTCGATTCCAAAGGCTACTTGGCTGTATCCCAATGGAAAACGCCCTCCAAAACGGCCCAAAGAAGTACATGTACTTGTTTGGGCGTCAGCCGTTTTGTAGGGCGTTCAGACGGGCGGAAATACGGAAAGGTGTGAACCATACCCATAGAAAACAATGGGATTTTCATGGTTGTACGTTTTGTAGAGCGTTCATAGAGCGTTGAACGCACGACAAAACGGAAAGGTGTGAACGGGGCCTTAAGGTGCCCATACACCTTACGACCACCGCAAGACTTTTGTCTTGCGATGGTCGTATGCTTATTGAAAGCTCGTACGATCTGCCCACCTTGGGATCGTACTTCCGATGACCGCAATGCAGAATGGGCAGTGTGCGCGTGCGCACACCGGCCCGTTCCACAGCTATCGAACAAGCAGGCTAGAAACCTGCCGACAATCGTATGATTCTCGGCGGGTTTTCTAGCATGCTGGTTCGACAAAAGACGTGCGACGGTACAGTAGAAACGGTCGCACGCCTTCCATACACTGTACAATTCTCGATCACGGGATTTCCCTCGATTCTCATACGAGAATCGTACAGTGTATGGGCACCTTTAGATTACGCTACACATGCTACAGATCACCTCAAACATCAGAGAGAGCAATAATTCTAGGGTTTAATTACTGATAAGACTAAACTAATGAGCGGTAAATATTTCCAAAGAGTCACCTATGGCCAATTTAGGTATGGTATTTTTTTGCAATTTCGCATGATTTTAAAGCTTGACATGTTTGGTGTCCATTTACCCGACATGATCCAATCTTTTATATATTTTAACAGAAAATTACATAATAAAATGTTTCATGACATAGGGAAAACAGTTTTTGTTCCCAACAATTTTAGGGAAGGAGGGGAGCATTGCAATGTGACATCCTGTATATGGGTGTAACATGGTAGAGAAGATAACATTGCAGGGATGGGGGAGGGGTTGGTGAAGATGGATGGTGACTTTTGGGAGTGAAGGTCCACTTTAATATACTTCTATTCTATACTTGGAATATCAAACCCGAGAGATATAAATATATCTATATATTCCCCTCCTCCACCCTCAGGAATAAGAAAATGAAGGGTCAGCATAAGACTCTAGAGTGATGAAGATTAAAGCGGCCAGATCTGTCAGCTGAGATCTGGGAACACAGAGCAATGTTTATAGATGATATGGGAAACAATCACTATACAATGACAGCGTTCTTCACTCAGCAACAATGTAACATTTGTTTCCAGTGCGGTATTTTCTCCCGTGCTAACACACAGCCCAGATCCCATACAATCACCCCATTCATGAACAATCCCGTGACCGGGAAGCCGCACTCTCTACTCACTGATAGACAAACCTCCCCGAGCACCTCCAGCTGACTGCTACGTCACCTGAGGACACGGTTCAGCAAGCGTGCAGAAAGGCCACGCCCACAAAGCTCTGTCACTGAGCCTGAATTTCCGGAAGAGCTCTGTTGGGTAAAACCAATAATCAGCTATGGGGGGGTAGATACTGGAAGGGCTTTTCCTCTGCTGGAGGTATGTAAGAGGAATGATTCACTGTACACAGTGAGTAATCATAGAGTAGGGAATAAAGGGGGGCACACTGAGAACATGAGCACACAATATACTACAAACTATTTAACTTTCCATGTGGCTTCAATTACCAGTCACCATCTGCCAGACAGTGATCATTCATTATTATTACTGGCTCTGCAAACAAAGGTGCTCTGTGGACTAGACTTAGAGACTGTCCCAGGAAGCAGAGGAGTTCCTCCTTTACTCTCAGTCCTGCTTCCTTTTGTTCTGATGTACACACCTAGAATGAACCTCCCACAAGTGATGTACTACACTCAGGGCCTTCCACACCATACCGCACATAAAAACTCATCACAACGCATCGAAATAAATGCATGTTTACATGTGCTACCATGTATTTTCATGCACCAGTTAGCATGTTATTGTGACTGCACTTTCATGCATGTGTTGCCATGCAATATAATGTCATCCTTTGTTGAGCACTTTTCAGTCCTATTTTCTAGAAGAGTCACTATAATGACCATGATTTCTCTTCACTTCAGTCGCTGTGTATTGTATTCACATTTGTTGAGGTGCGTTGGGCAGATTTTACCACCCTCTGAAAGCCAATCCATAGTGGATCGATTTCAGAGAGCAGTTGGCGGCGCTTTTCAGGAGGCGATACACTGCCACCTCCTGAATGTGTTTTTTTGTTTTTTTTTGATCCTGAGACTTTTTATTGCAATACTGCGTTGCCACTGTGTGAGCTAAGCGGTTGCAGCAAGCATCACCACCTCCCAAACACGATACGCTGAGTACAATCTGCCATTCCCCAGCCCTGTCCAGTATGCTGGACGCCAGACACTCCTGTGTACACCTCTTGGCCTGTCCCTAGCTAGAGAATGACAAAGCACATTTGATGCAAACACATTTTCACAAATACATGGAAAAAGGACTTGCAAAATCTGACATTAAATGATGCAATTATAAATATATCAGGGATGCACTGATATTGGTTTTTCGGTATCGAGTACCGATATTTATTAGAGGTGCATCGAAATGGAAATTGCAAAACCGAAAAAAAAAAATTGTCAGGCCGAAACTGAAAATGTTTTTTATTTTATTTTTTTTTCAAATTTATTTAATATTTTATTTTTATTTATTTTTTATAAACTTTTTCATTTTTTTATATTTATTTTTAGTTATTTATTCATTTTTTATTAAATATTTTTATTTTTTACTTTACTTTTAGGGGCTCGCCGAACTGTGACAGGAGGCTGAGGTGTGGGAGGAGAGACGCCGGCTGCTCACATCGCTCTTCCCCTGCAGCGCTCGGCCGGCTATCACAGTTTCTCTGCTCCCCGCTGGGACACAGAGCAGCTCCGAGCGGGGAGGAAAGAAAGCCGGGATGCGCCGATGTATCGGCAAGAAAATGGCACTTTCTGCATTTTGCCAAAAGTGCCATTTTCGACCGATATATCGGTGCATCCCTAAAATTTATCTTTCGGTACTTGCCGATACCAAATACCGATATCGGTACTTCCGGGAGCATGGTATTGGCTTCCCAACAAAGCAAAAAGCCAGGCAATGGGTCATTACCCGTTGCCCGGCTTCCTGATTGGCCAGGAAGATGGCTCCATGCAGATTGGCCAGCTCAATGCTGATTGGCTGGGAAGCCTGCGTCCCGGCCAATGAAGAAGCTGGACGGCGAGTAATGACCCGCCACCTGGCTTCTTCATTGCCCGAGAAGCCAGCACCATGCTGTTTGGCTGGCTCAGTGATGATTAGCTGGGAAGTCGGCTTCCCGGCCAATCAGCATGGATCCGGCTTCCCGGCCATTCATCATTGAGTCGGCCAAACAGCATGGAGTCGGCTTCCCAGCCAATCAGAAAGCCGGGCGGCGGGTAATTGAGCCAGCCAAACAGCATGGAGCTGGCTTCCTGATTGGCCGGGAAGCTGGCTCCTTGTTCGCTCACGACACTGAGATTTCCGCTGACCAGAAGTTACGGTATCGGGGGTAAGTATCGGAGTATTTGGGCGAATAAAAGTACTCGCCCAAATACTCGGTATCGGCACCGATACCAATACTAGTTTTGGTATAGGTCCATCCATAATATATACCGTATACCTAGTTAAAAAGTATTATACAACCACAACAAAAATGGGGCTTTTAGCGATAACTCATGACAAAGAAACAGAAAAAATGTAAAAAAGTAGAACATTTTATTCCGTACATATTAAAATCAATACATTTTTACAGAAACAAGGAGGAGCCATCGTGCAGGACGGACGCTGGTTGGGATCACCACGCCAGACTTTGAACTGGTTTCACTGCTGCCTGTTTAGTCCAGACCCTGCCCCTCCTGTGGTCCCTCCTCCCACCAGGTACGGTGTCCCTATATTTCATGATGTAGCTTTTATGTGAACGCCTCTCTCCTGAAGAAGCCGATAGCGGTGAAACGCGTTGAGATAATACATCTGCCAGCATTACATGACGTCTTTAGTTAATCTGCAATCTACTTGGAGGAGGATCCCATTATCGTCATTCCCTCCAGCAAGTTCACTATCTCAGTTGTATATCCTGTAATGTTTCATGTGCCATGAAGGACTTTTCTTTTAAAACTATAATGTTTTTATTATATATGGAATATATTTGTTTTTGGTATTTTTTCCTTGTCATGAGCTACCACTAAAAACCCCATTGTTGTTGTGGTTGTATGATGTTTGTTCTAATCTGGGGGTGAGGTGCCCTTTACCTCGGTGCCGCTCCGTTTTGGGGTGTTGGAGTTGTTGCTAGATGAACCTAGCTAAAAATAAATAGATATGTCCTATGCAGGGGCAAGCCTGGGTTTGTATTTCATGTGTTGAATGGATGCAGATTACAGGTGAAACTCGAATAATTAGAATATCGTGCAAAGTTCATTTATTTCACTAATGCAACTTAAAAGGTGAAACTAATATATGAGATAGACTCATTACATGCAAAGCAAGATAATTCAAGCCTTGATTTGTCATAATTGTGATGATTATGGCTTACAGCTCATGAAAACCCCAAGAACCCCAAATCCACAACCTCAAAAAGTAGATTATTACATGCAATCAATAAAACAAGGATTGTACATAGAACAATATCGGACCTCTGAAAAGTACAAGCATGCATATGTACTCAGTACTTGGTTTGGGCCCCTTTTGCAGCAATTACTGCCATTACTTTTGCACGATATTCTAATTATTCGAGTTTCACCTGTATATGTAAATGTCCATGCACCACCTAGTGGCTTCTTCATTTAAGTTTTTAATAGCTGCTTGTTGATAAGAAACATGAAAGCTTCTAAAGGGGAACTCTGGGAAAAGTGAATTTTGCACATTTGCTATATACCAGTAAATCGCCTCTAGTGATGTGCGTTCCATGTGCTATAATGTGCTGCGTTAGTTAAAATTAGTGTCACCCAGCAACGACAGTACAGTAAGCTCTGAGCTTCCAGTCCCGGATCTCATACTGTGAAGGCTGGGATTGGACAAGGGGGGACAGATGAACATCACAATTTCCACCTCGTCCAATTACACAGCACCATGTGAAAAGTATAAAAATAAATGTTTTATGAATGGATGAGGTGGAGTGCAAGGGACCCAAATAGCCTTCACTGTATGCACTGTATGAGAGCCGGGGCTGTAAGTGTCAGCACTGGAAGTTCAGCGTTTACTGTGATCTGCATATCTGGCAGTCAGGGCCGGATTTCCCACAAGGCCACTGAGGCTCGGCCTCTGGGTGGCAGGGAGTAGAGGGGCAGCAGGGGTGTGTAATTCCTATGACCCGACGCTTGGGACATGCAGTTCCAGGTGCCGGGTGGCTAGTTTTTTTCTACCTTTATCCCTGATTTAGGCAAGCAGAGCTAAATGTAGAGCAGGGAAGCCGCCGCTTGTTTTGTACAAGGGATCTCTGCGATGCCACTGAGATCACCTGTATGCAGCTTTCAGGTCTGTCCCCCTCCCTGTCAGCTACCTCTCTCCCCGCTTGCTGCCTCTCTCCTCGCTGGCTGACTCTCTCTCCACCATGGTTTTCGGGGTCCCTCGCTCTTCTGGGGGACCCGGGAGCACGGCAAGGTAGTTGAGGATGAAGAGCGGGGAGCAGAGCGGAGAATATCCGTTCTCCATTCTGCTCTATGTGAACACTGAGACGGGGGAGCTGCACTCGAAGCCTTTCCATCTCAGATGTCACAGGAGAGCCAGCACAATGCTGTGCTAGAATTCCTGTATTGGAGGTGACAGGTTAACTAAAGAGAACCTGTCACCTCCAAATGCTATCACACAGGGGCTTCTTAGTTCCTCTGTGATAGCAATAAAGTTAAGTGAAACGAAAAAAAAGAATCTCAAATCCAGTAAGAACACGTCCCTGGAGTCTCTGGAATGTCTTCTCTCTGTATGTGGGAACCTTTCCAAGATCTTGCGCTGAAGCATCACCAGCACCTTCAATTACAATGGGGAGCTGCAAGATAATCAGACCTCGCATTTTTATCAGAAGTTCAGACTTACATTTGATTAATGATGACATTAAATTTGGACACTCACCGCCAGAGTAATAGAAACTCCTGTTCAGTACAGTGCTGGTCTAGAATTGGGCCTTGTAACAGCTGCAGCATTGTACCAGTGACACAGGGGTCCTGTGATGTAGGCCAAATACAGTCCTATAAGTTGACACAACAAACTTATTAAAACCGGCTTCTAATAATAAACTTATTAAAAACAGAAAGTTGGCAAAGCCTCACTTCAGCATCAGAGCCCCTGCAGAGCCTGCTCTAATGTACAGATAAAGCCACTTGGGAGCATATGTCATAGCTATGCAAAATACAACTGTTAAAAGACCATG